CCCTCTCGCGGCATCCTGTCCGCGAAGACGACAACACCTCCCACAGGACCCTTTACGGCTACATGTCAGAAAGGCAGACAGACAAAGCAAATTAATGGGAATGCTCCGTTCCTTCTCGGACTCACACGAAGGCGCGCTGACACCAGGGCACTCAAAGCCCGCGCTCCGGCCTCTGATACCTCCCTGTGGGTGCAAGCTCGCGCTGCTGCCATAAAGCTGCGGCGGAACACGGTGCAAATCACTGCGCACTGGGAGTTGCCGCTGCTCCCTGTTATCCTCGCCGCCTCTCTTCTCCGCCGGAAGTGGAGGAAGTGGCACACGCATCACATCGATCGTGCCGCTCCTCGTCCCACGCGGCTTCGCCTCGCCCAAGTGTATACAAATCCAGGGCAAACTCACCGCATCTCACTGTCTCTGACCAAAGTTCGCTTTTTACAAATACACATCCGTGCTTAAAGGTCAGCTCTTGATGCCACGCCTCCTATAAACCGCACCTGCCGTATTTTACATGCTTTACAAAAGTCCAGATTGTCTCAGATGATCTAGCTTCTCCCGTGTGAGTCAGCCAGCTGCCGACGTCCACACCGCTGCTGTCCCATTTCAGCAGATGAGAGTGTGCGTGCGCGGCTGTATCGCACAGACAAAGAGGCTGATAACGATTCTTATAGTCGTCCTCCACTTCACTCGGATTCAAGGGCTTCTGCTTCCGACACCCGCACGCCTCAAACGCCGCCCCCACCCCACGCGACCAACCCACCCTCACAACCACACACACACCACACCCACACACCCACACACAACACCACGTGTGTGTGTGTGTGTAAGCAGAGCCCTTGAATCCGAGTGAATGTGAAACTAGTAGAGAATGTTATCAGGGTCTTTGTCTGCCTGATAATCGGGACAACAAGCACACTCTACCATCTGCTGGAAATGGCACAAGCACATAGTCATGGCTGACTCACACTAATGCTACAGCTTTTATGAACTAATCATTTTTGTAAAACAATCTGGACTTTTGTAAAGCATGAAAATAATCACAGTGAGGAGCTTTATAAGGATCATAGACTGACCCTTTAATAGATGTTATTTTAGAAAATTGCACTTTTTCAGATAAGTAATGTCTGAGTTTGCCCTTGGATTTGTATTACACTGTAGTGACAGGCCGAGATAGTCGAGAGAGCCTTCTGACACTTCATCGATGTGATGCGTGTCAGACACTTCCTCACTTCCTATACCCAAAGAATGAGTCAAACATCAGAGAGACAGAAGCATCTGTCCGTTTAAGAGCAACTCCAGTGATTCAGTATTGCACTTCCATAAAGCTCTCCTCAACTTTATGGAAGTGCAATACTATACCACAGGTAACGTATATAAATATCCTGACTTTTAGTCCCTATTGTCAAATTGCCTATTGAGTCAAAGGGAACTACATTTCCCATAATTTGGCTTTGTTCTGCCTTTCTGACATGTATTTAAAGGCATCCTGTGGAGTTTTCTTGCAAATTCTTTCATGACACATGTTATATGCATTTCATCCTCGTTAAACATCAGCAAAGCCCTTTATTAAATCCTGCATTGTTTCTGACTAGCTAGAGGGGTCTTAAGGTCTTCCAGTATTGTGGCACACATCTGACTCATACACATGGATCAATGTGGAAATGTTCTTCTCTAACCGTTTTTTCATTTTTATACTTATTCAGAAGATGACATAAAGGTCGAGGCTACAAAAGTGGACAGCAACGGCACAATGGCTGGAGTTTCTACACTGCCACCACAAACACATACACACACACACACACACACACACACACTGATGTAATTCTTTTGTAAATATACTTACCGGGGAGCCGTTTTCCTTCAGGGCAGCAGGGGCCTCCCGCGGGCTGACGACTCCATAGTTCTGAAGTAGAGAGAAACAGTGTGATTTACAGTAATGAGACTTATGGGCACAGTTTATTAACTTCCTAATATGAAGTAAGTCCAGTTTCATTAAAGAAATACAATAAGTGAGCATACAAAGAAGCATTACTTCAATCAGCATATTCGTCATAATCAGTCATTAGTAATAAGGGAGCCACACATTTAAAGCAGCACTCAATTATTATTATTTTTTAAGCTTTTGATCCATTTTGTACAAAAATATGGATTAGAACTGCTTCAAAGACATCATTTTAGGCAACCTGAAGCAACGCTGTGTCCAAAATCTGCATTATACACACTGTCATAGTATGCTGTTTTAGCAGCTAGTATGTACAAAAATATGAACATACTTTATCAATATACTATTTTATACTAACTGGAAAGGATACAATATGTGTGATGATGGACCAATCAACTGCGACTTAGGAAAGCAATTTAACTTTAACATCAAAATGTTTTTCAGAATACTTTGTTTAACCAAGATTTTCCCCTCCACATATCATTTATTTACATTGTTTTCCCAGATGTATGAGGAGCTCCTCCATTCCCTTTGTTCCTTTATTTAGTATGCACACTGTCTGCTTTGATTGTGCTTTATTTAGTAACTTTTCTAGTAACTTTCCTAGTTTGAACAGTTGAGTATGTAGTGAACACCGGCTTACAATCACTATCTAGTATGGAAACCTTTCTCATGTTGCTGTAATTAATAACCTTAATAAAATGTTGTTACAATTCCTGAACCCTGGTACAGACCTATTTCACAGAAGACATTTTGGCATTTCACTGTGGGGAGAAGCACAGGTGTAATTGATAACATAAATAAAGGTCCTGGTATTGTTCGTGCTGGCTCACTGCCATGGCTCACTGTGGCACTTAATGGAACTGAGCCGTCGTTA